TATATATATATATATATATATATATATATATATATATATATATATATTTCAGTAATTCATTTCCAGTGATTCACCAGAAATGTTTCAAATATGAATCACAAAGCAGACAAGAAAAATAAATAATCTAAACCAGGCTCCAATTATCTCAGAGAAAGTAATAACTTCTGAAAGTCTAATCTGTTTGATTCTGTCAATCAGGGCAACAGTGACAGATTTGTCTAGTAATCAGACAAAGTAATCAGTAATCAGCCAAATTATTTGAGATATTTAATTATTTATTTGATAGCGTCACAAACTAGCCCAGATAAAAAAATAACAAAAATATGTTCTGCTTGATAAGGAACAAAATATCTGTCCATAGTCAGCCAAGCCTTCAAATCATAAATCAAACAAGGATCTACAGCCAGAAGCTGAACTGAGGCGCAGCAGCGCTTCGAGGTACATGCTACCACTAGTATGGCAACATGCTGCCAATGACAATGTTAACATGCTGATGTATTGCAGGTATAATGTTTACCATCTCGGATAAGCATGTTCAAATGTCCATTTAACCACAGGCTGGATTTGTCTTTGTGTTAGATGAGCTGATTTCTTTCCTTCTTCGATGGTTTCATTTGATTTTTGAGGCCCGTTAAAGTACACCTATCTAGTATTTCACCAGAAAAAGCAAAGATCAAAATAAAATCAGAGGAAAGTATTGTATCTCTTTACATTACAGCTCGGTAATAACATGGTAGCAGCATTAACAATGGTTATATCTGAGTGCTATCAGACTGAAATGTATGAAACAGGGTAATAAGGGGACAAAAAAACAAAGCTTAATAATGGGGAAACATATTTAAAGATAGCCACAACTATTTAGAAATAATATAGTCATATTTCAGTGACCTGAAATACAATAAAATGGTGATGTCAGTGCAATGTTTGGGTGTAATTAATGTGGTAATAAACTGATAATAATGAGGTAATATAGGTTGATGTTTTTGCCAGCATAATATTTTCAATATCACGTGAACATTCTTGGAAGTCCAAATTGGTACCACATTATAATGCTGAAATCTATTCTTCCTACAGTACGTACCAAACATTCCCTTTTGTTTCAGGGTATATTGTACACATGATATGATTACACTTAGCACCCTGTTACATACATTTAATTCTAATATGACCCATATTCATCCATTGTTAATTCGAAGTATTACCTGGTAATTGGTAATTACATAGTATTACTTAATTATTACCTCTTTATTATGAAATTATTACCCCACTGTTACCATGTTATTACCGAGCTGCAATGTAAAGTGCTACAAAAATTATTTTGTGGCAGAAATCTAATTTTGGAGCGTTTACCATTTATTTTGTAACTGACATGGTGAAACTGAGAAGCTGTTTAAAAACCTTCTGATCTCTGGTCTAGTTGTCCTGTACATTCCACTGTACAGCTGTGGCTAGCAACAATGACAACGTGTTACATTTAGTATCTTAGTAAAATTACAATCAGACCCAGATTGTAAAGACGGGCAAGGGGAAAGGAGTCCGTTAAAGGGTGTTAACTCTGATGTGAGCAGAAGGACTGTGACAGTGAGGGCTGAAATGGACACTTCAATGCCATGTGCCATGGCTAAAATAGTCAATATAGTTTTCTTCTTTTTCTATGTCACAGCTGTCAGTGTGTTGTTGAGTGTTCTCTTTATACTACGGAACGAACCAGAAGACCAGTAGTGCTCATCGAGTTGTTAAGTGATTGCTCCAATTACCATGGACATTCATTGCTCTCATTACAGAGCTGCCACAATCATCAGATTATTATTATTATTATTATCGATGTCTTAAGTGTTAAGTGTATCATTTTAAACATTGCATAATAAATTGCCTGTCACATTAACCTGCTAACAGTAGGGATTACTTCTGTTTTATATTTTCAGCCGTGCCTGAAAGCAGTGTTTCGAAACATTCCTGTTCAGAATGGGTCGAATACTTTTACTTCTCTAAAGAACTGCTCATAAAAACAACTTCACGCTCAATACTGCACTTCCTCTGATCCTCAGCAATACACCTGTCATGACACACAGTAGTTTCGTCACACACCCGAGTCACAGCTACTCGCAGTCAGGAGCACCAGTGAAAAGACTCTAGGGGCAGACTTTACCATTAGGCGAGGTGGACAACTGCCGGAGGCCCCCAAATAAAAGGGCCCCAAACAGCTATAGATTTATTTAAAATATATATATAGGCAGAATTGAGAACTGTGTATGAAACCTTTATATAACTAACACCAGAATCCAAGATGATTGTACTTTAATCATTGTTATTTCAAGTCTTTACAGCAGCACAATGTTATTGGATGGTACCGATCTAAAGGCAGACTGTTAGCTCACCACCGAGGGGGATATTGTGTGGCTTTGGGTTCCTAGGCTCTAACACAGTGGTTTCCAAAGTTGGTGCCAAGATTTGTTCATTTTTATACATCAATTGTACATTTTTTAGTTTTCATAAAAAACAAAGTGCCATTCATGTTGACTACATTTTGGTATTTGTTTAAAGACAAACAAACAAAAAAAAAAAAACATCAGAAAAGGGAATAAACATAGAAGCCCCCTTATTAAAAATGCAGTTAAATATGTGGTTATGATGCAGCTAACATTGGTGACCTATTAGTCCACACTTACCGGGTTGCCATAGTAACACATTACACACTTTCCTGCTTGTAGGCTTTTTTTCAGGTGCACAGTGGTCAGAAGTACATGTCAGAGCAAGCAAATGGAAATATTTGTCACTGTATATAGAGCTCAAAGATATTACCCTCAAATGTTGGTTTTGATCCAAAACCAAATAATACTGCAGTGTATGATCACAGATACCAATATTATTATACAATATATGTTATAATATTGTAATATATATATATATATATATATAAATGATAATTAGATTCAAGGTGGCTTAAATACATGTAAGGTTATGAAACAATGTTTTACACTGGGCATTATATGTTCAAAACTTACTGCAAAAAAATTAAAAAAATTAAAAACACAGAATTCGTCAACCTATTTTATGGTGAAACGGAGTGGCATGAATAAAAACTCTTAATGTCGGGGTGTCCTGGTTTAAAGGGCCCCACAGTTGTAACATGTAAGGAGGGTCAGTTCAGAGGTGGCAGGGGAGGAGGTACAGATGCAGAGCAGCCAGGCCGTCATGCAGGGGATCCTACATTTCCCCGACACTCTGAGATGAAACTCTCAGTCCACTCGCATGCAGCACCTAGCCGAGACTAGTAGACTTGTTATTGTGAGTGTCATTGTCCAGGCGTAATCCTCCCTCTTCAAAGCACCCAGTGCAGCTCTTCCCTCACTCTCCCTCTTTGTACACAGCCCGTCAAGAGAGCAGCGGCGGGTTGATAAGAGGAATCCGGCGCCCACAATAGGCCGAGTCTACTAGGTTGTGGCGCTTCATCATCCCCCCCAACACTCCTTTTGATCTTGCCGTGGTACTGGAGATTCCCAGAGAGGGAATGGATCACTGGAGGGCCTAAACATGTGGGATTGTTAAGAGAAACAGCTGGCTGGGCACAGAAACACACACACACATGCCCTGACACTGATATCATACACACACTCTCCAACTTCCATTTCTCATGCTCCTCTTAAACTCACTCACTTAGTCACACCACCGTATGTATACACATGCCTTCATGTTGTCTGCCTTTGAAAGTCACTTGACTAGAGTTGCAATACCTTGATTTTTTTATAGATGTAGCAGATATGCAAAACGGTTTTTCGTCTCATGTATGAAAGATTATAGACAGCTAAACAACAGGACTACGGTGAAAGTCATTTAGCCTGACAACAGCTACATATAGACTACAGTAAGGGTGGTCAATACGATTTAAATGTATGTTATATTCCAATAACAACATATATTGTACTATTCAACTAAGAAATAATTTATCCTGCAATTCCATATTGCAACATGTGGCCCAATATAAGCAGAGATATTGAAGAGAAGGCTACACCAGTATCCACGGATTGGCAAAAAGTCAAATGGTTGACATGTTTCTATCATCTCTTTCAATATGCCATCATATGTCTGAACCCTGGACTACAACAGTTGTTCTACTGCAGGAACAAGACAAACACCCAATTACATTTAATTCTCCTACACTATTTTTTACTGTTGTGATTTTTTTATTCAAAATTGTATTTATTTATTTTTTAAATGTGGGCAAAGTGGAGAAAGCCTAGCTTCACTGGATGGATAATCCTGACAACACAAACTACCTGAGAGAAGTGGGAGGTCGCATTTAGGATTCAACACCATAGAAAGAAAAGTGTATTAATAAAGGCTGTGCGCTGACATTGTAAAAACAGAAACTTCATCTAAGTGAGGCAGTGGAGGTACAGCGAATGGATGAAACCACATTCATTCATTTTACAACAATTGTTTTTACATTTAGGATTTGCCTACAGGGCTGTCTTCAAATCAGTTAGGGAATTATATGTTATAGATTAATTTTGGCAAAGAGTGACAGTTCTTGTGTTTTTAACCAAAAACTATGAAACACTTTGTTGTTGTTCACCCACCTCTGAAGCAAAACCAATGAACAAGGCTTTTAACAATAAAGGGTTAAGATGTAACGGCGTCTGGTGGGTGGATTTAGGATTAGACTATGTGGGCTGCATTCAAATCACTTCGAATTTGTTGAGGGAAAAAGTGACAGTCCTACTATTTTTAAACCAAAACCCCCCCTACCCAAGACGCATTTTGACTCAACAACATTCATTTGTGTATACGATCGTGGGGCATCAGGGTCATCTGTCCGGCTGGACAGCTGAGGAGTGAGCAGCAGAGCCCTCTCTAGATAGTTATGGCCATATTACACAAACCCGAGGGCCACATGTGTTGACACAGGCCTCCGTCTGCTCTGGTCTGCTCAGTATGGTACGAGCGGAGCCAGAGAAGAGAAGAGGTCTGCTTTGAATGTTCCTCTAAGATTAACCTGTCTTTCAGTGAGGATGATACTGGGACTGATCTCTCCTACTGATTGGATTTGAAGCCTGGGAGAGAGATTTAAATTACCGGCCCTCAATCCCCCTCCTCTCTCTCTTACGTGAGAGAGTATTTACAGTAACATGATCAGATGGTGTCGGGCACAATGATCCTTTTGAAGAAGAGCATTTGCACCAATCAGAACAGTAAGTATGTATATAGGGGTTTTGATGCTACACTATTTTCCCAGAAAGCATGTAAAGCCTTTCATGAGTGTCTCCCAATGTTTGAACTCGTTGCCATGGGCACCACAGACAGATGAACTGCTTTTTGACCATAGCCTCTTGTGCAATGACGAGACGGCTATCTAAACTATTGTCCGATCTCTGGTGCCATTAAAAACCACTTAGGACTTTATAAGGGGCGCTGAGCCCTTTGTGAAATTTCCTTTGGCGAAGATGGGATAAAAAAGTTTTTGGTTCCCAGAAGAGGTCAGGAAAGGTAGCTCCCTTCATGTGTTTTATGGCTTTGAGTGCTATATTAACATATTCTGTCTTGTAGTCTGGAGGCATTTAAGAGATGAAAGATAGAGCTTGTTCACATATTTTTTATGGCCCCTCAGTATCACAAGTATGAGAGGATTTCAGTCTCCTCCCAAATAAATGCCTGCAAGGAAACAAATCATTACCAGGTTTTGATTTTGACAGTAAGGACAACATGAAGAAAATGATCCTGGAAGGTTTTTTTCATGTGCTAGATGGGGTTATTTTTTTAAGAAGTAGGTTTCATCCACTTTATCTTTCGGTCAAGGTGATTTTAGGTTTCAGAGAAGGCAGCTTTTCCCCCGACTCTTCTCTCAGTCCCACGATATCTATGGATCCTTCCTCATCCCAATCGCTGAACAACTGAGCAAATCAGATCATCAGTGAGGATACTACACTGAACCTACACACAACTGTTTCTAACTTCCCACCCGATGTATTCAACGATTGTTGCAGAGTGCAACGTAAGGTCCTTTGGGGAAAGAAGGGTTTTATTAGTCCCTGAAATTGGTTGCATTTTTTATGGAAACTCACAATCATGTATACGCATTTTGATCAAATCCTTCTGAAAGGTTCAAATCACACTGATTTCTGTTTAGGAATAAGAACTTAAGTCAAAGTCAAGTATTGCGTTCATATGAAAGCCAAATAAGAGCATTTCTGACACCTTTCCTTTACATTTTTCAACAGGAGGATGTTCCCCAGCTACAAGGTTAAAGTAACTGGGATGAACCCCAAAACCAAATACATCCTACTTATTGACATTGTCCCCGCTGATGACCATCGCTACAAGTTCTGTGATAACAAGTGGTAAGTTTCCAAATGCAAAGCCATGGATGATTCTTGTTGAAGGTTGCCCCATGGCCTACTACTACAGCCTTTCATAGCAGCTTAGCTGATTGTAGCTACTTGTATAACAGATGCTGAGGCCCGGCGGGTAGTCAACTTAGGCCTGCAGGCAATACACAGACAGAAACCTTGAGCTGCCATGTTGCTTCCTAACTCTTATCGCCAGACCAAAACAAACAAAACACTGGATTACAATCAAACGTTTTGTACGATTTTGTAAATTCTTGATATCTACAACATCTGAGCATGGCAACAACTGTATGGTTAACTTTAGGGATGGATTATGCTTATGATGATGGAAAAACTATGGTCAAGGCATTGTCAGTATTGTGAGGCAACTGAAACACGAGTCAAAGAGAAAAAGCTGGTGGACCGAACTCAGCATTTCTTAAATTCACCCTGTATCTGGAGGCAATGACATTGCAGCCCTTCATTCATCAGTATGACATTATAACTGGCACACCCACTTCACAAAGGTGGACAAAAGGTTTTGCATGTAAAAGCTGAAATGAATGCAAAAGACTTCGTTTTACAGCCATTTGTTTCTGATCTTGTGGCATGGCCTGCAGATCTGGTGTTTCTCAAAGACACCTTGGAGAAGCATAATTAGTAGTGATGTATTAGCAGAGGCCACCTCCTTCAAGTCTAAGGGATTAAATACTGTGAGGGTTGAGAGCAGTAGTGTTGTACGCTATGGTAAAGGTGACTTGATTCATGTTGCAACACGGCCAAATATTTTGAGTGAGCTATGTTAGATTAACTGAGATGTCTTCTTTAAATGTTGAATAGCATTAGCTCTTGTAAACAGCTAGAGGCAATATTACATTCGGTTTTTTTTTTCTTATCACAGTTTGCTTCTGCACGTTTCTCCATCTGTTTTTAGGATGGTGGCTGGCAAAGCTGAGCCAGCAATGCCAGGCAGACTCTATGTGCACCCTGATTCCCCCGCCACAGGAGCTCACTGGATGAGGCAACTGGTGTCGTTTCAGAAGCTCAAGCTAACAAACAATCACCTGGACCCTTTTGGGCATGTGAGTACCTGCAGAGTATATTAGTAATTTCTATAATTCAAGACCTATTTAAAGAAAGGGTTAACGTCATTACAAAATCGACTGGATTATCCCAATAGTGTTAACATTTTATCCACCAATTTAATTGTTAAGATCTGAGAATAAAGCAACAGTTGTTAACACAAGTATACAAATGGCAAAATGGTAAACGGTCTGTCTTCCGACCACTCAAAGTGCTTTAACACTACATGTCATCATTCACCCATTCAGACACATTCATACATTGATAGCAGGGCTGCCATGCAAGGTGCCACCTGCCCATCAGAACTATCTAAGTTAAGTGTTCAGTGTCTTGCCCAAGGACACATCGTAATGGACTAGCGGAGCCGGGGATCAAACCGCCAATCCTCTGATTGAAGGACGACCCTGCTGAGCCCCCACTGAGCCGTGGCTCAGAGCTAGAGCGGGTCGTCTTTCAATCAGAGCGTCGACAGTTCGATCCTCAGGTCCATGGCCATGCCAAATAGCTCCCGTAGGCTGTGTATGTGTGGGGTATGAATCAGTTATGAAGCTGCCATCAGAGTATAAGTGGGTGAATGACATGTAGTGTTAAGTGCTTTGAGTGATAGGAAGACTAGCTATACAAGTACAAGTACAAGTCCATTTACTATGAATTGCATTGTATTCCAACAGTTCCGATATTTATCTCTGAACCACTAACAGTTGTACTAATCCATCTTGTAGATGTAGAGATATTTCACTGTATAAGTGAAGTCTTTAATCTGCTGGTAGTACTACAGGAAAAGTTATGGGTTCACCAAAGTCAGTAGGATTAATCCTGTGGGCAAATTGCAGGGCAATCCATCCAATGGTTGTTGAGATCTTTCAGTCTGGACCAAAGTGGTGGACCGAGCTGAAGACCTACATTGCCAGTGTGGCTAAAAACAAGAAAAATACCAGAGCAAATCAAGTCCTATGATGATGATCTGCCCTGTAAAATACAGTTCGAAAACAGGCCTACAAATCAAACAAATGCAGTTAAAAGGGTGAAACAGGTGTAACCTTTTTAGATTATAGAGGCGTGAAGTCAAACCAGGTGTGAAACACTTATTTATTTCTAAAATTACTTGTGCTCCCAAGGCAATGTATTACTTTCAGCTTTACCTGTCTGGAATACACCTCCAAAACTCCAATATATTGCTGAAATTTCATGACTGGAGGGAACTCTGTTTTAGCAAAAACCACCTAATGTGAGAAGAAACATACATCTTTTTAATATGATACATGTGCAAACTGCAAAAAGGTGTAGATGTTTTTCAGATTTCTGAATGAAGCTGAGGAGGCAGAGGCTGCGTAGTGAGGTGAAGAGTATGACTGTGGCAGGGCTCCCCAGGGGGACTCTGGGATAGCTTGTCTGAAGCCATCCCATCAATGGGCGGGCTCATTAGGTTCATAACCTCTCAGATCCGTGGCGGGGCCTGCTGTCAGATCGAGTTGAGTGCCTGGCCAGTGATAAGGGCGAGTAATGAGGACAGAGCGAGTTTGAGGCCAGGCAGAGCCCAGATGACGTCAAGATCGAGAGGTGTGTAGTAGGGCAGGGCTTCTCACTGTGGAGTGAAGGAACTCCCATTCAGTACTAATTATACACATTACTGAATGTGTAAGAAATGACTAATTCAACTGTAATTCACACTCTTCTTCTTCATGTTCTATGGTTATTCAGCCTAATATCCCAAAGAATTGCGTCCATAATGGACAAAACCGCCCTTCACAATTCATGTACATTGCCAACTGTCAGTACTAATGCAGGGAAGTATTATGACTTTTATGCGGCAATGTGCAAGGTAAGGGTGTGGAGGTTGGGGTGGTGGATAGATGTGTAGACTGGAAGTTGGATCCCATCACATAAAGCACCTTATATTGATAGTCACCTTTTTATTAACCAAAATCACAATCTTTTCCAAACCTTAATCTGGGTTTTGCAGAATCTTCCAATATTGACGTTCTAGTCTGGCGATAAGGTTGGGTCATTACATGCTATGGTAATAAAATAATACTTATTGTGCTTCAAGAAGTCTTCACACGCACATTTCCGTATCATGGATATTAAGGAAGATGAAAGCAAATACCTTCTTTAGCTCTTCACTGATCTAAGGAAGGCTTCCCTGATCACTCCCTTTAGACAGTCACTCAGGAGTCTCCAGTATCACCCTCAAACAGCCAGACAGCAGAGCAGACAAAGGTCAGCCGAGAGCCTCTTGTGAACCAGCCAATAGATTATCTGTGTCTCTCCAGCCTGCCTCAGCAACAGGAGCATGTGAGCACAGGGCCAGTCGGTGTTCAACCTGAGCCTAGCACCCTGTGCCCTGTTCAACATTTGCCTCTCTTTGAGAGACCCCTGGAGGATAGGCAAATGAGGAGGGGAGCCGAAGTGCAGTGCTTGATGCTTATACGTACTGACAGAGCTGGACTAGGGATGACCCTGCCTTACTGTTGCTAACGCTTCGCTGGGCACAGCAGTCGGCTGCGGTGAGCGGACTGATGCGAGTGAGCCGACCTGCAGCCACCCAATCAACCTAAACACTATGCACGCTCAGCACATGCTACCTGCTATACTAACACACAACACATTTAGATTCCAGATCAAGTGTGATGGAGATGAAAAATGCATTGAACCAATCCAATCTAACAACTTTGCGCACGAAGGACTTGATCCCAATGGGGGAATTTGGCAGGGAATGGATGGTGGTAACAGGCATGGTATACAATACAATGCTAACCATAATATCAAAGAGATTATGCTAAACACACTCATTTCAAATAGTCTGATCTTATGGCACGGTTTAAACTTTAAGGTGTCAGACGAGTAGAGAACTGGTCAGAAAGTCAGGAATGTCCCTATTTCAACATAGTTCAAGTGCACTGGAGGTTGTTGAGCTGCCAATTCAATTCCCACAATGCAATGTAAAAAGCAGTGAGTATAGACAAGGTGCAGTGTTCACCATCTCACAGATTGTGTTACCAAAAGTGACATACATAGCTCCTTTAAGCACTTGCCAATGAGATTTAGAACATTAATACAGCAACAGCTATTGTAAGATAAAGTGGAGTAATGGTGTCCTGGGCATAGAATGAAGTCACACTCCATCTCTGTGTGTTGTAATCTGAGTGTCTCTCTTTTGGTTGTCAGACCGGCTGTGTGTGCATGTGAGGGCCTCCCTTTGAAACTGTCGGCCCTCCCCGCATTTAAAGAGACTAAAGGCCCAGACACAACAAACCAAAATCAAAGACCTAGCGGCGATGAAGGCCCACTCTTCATTCATTTCACCTGTGTCTTGGCTAGAAAGCTGCACTTGAACACACAGCAAAGACTTGGGACACAATAGATGTTCATTCAGTGTGATTTTCACACTGAATGAACATCTATTGTGTTATGGTTCTATGATACACATGTAATGAGGGTAAAAAGTAGTAAGCATTTACTAAAATTGGCATACAATATGGTTACTTATATGAGAGCGGATATGAGGTACATGTTACTTTTTTATTTACACATTTAATTATTGTTCGTTAAAATCTGTTAGAATGTATACTAAGGGTAGACATTGGGACAACATGCCATTTCCATGCTTCATACTAATAATGTACAATATAAAAAATGTAAATCATTACAGTTTATTTCACAAAGATGGAATCTTTGCGTACAGTTTACTTACCTATGAAGTGACTTTTTTGTGGGAGACATTTTCAAATGTCATATCACGAAAAGCTACGGGACAATTATTAACATCAATGATATCTGCATTTCATGTAAGTGTTCCAGTTCCAAGGCCCTACAGCCTGGTCTCTTAAAAATGACAGGGGGAAATGTATTTTCTCCCGGATTTCGTTTTCTTTTTAAAAGTTTCTAATCAAAGTCTGCGTAACTCGATGGGTGAGTCAAACAAACACAGGACTTTCACCCAGGGGACCACAGTTTGTGTACATTGTGAAACCAAAAGTCAATGTTGACTTATTTGAATTTATGTTAGTATCTTGAATAATGTTACAAACACTTATTTTAAGCCAAACCATGATGTGTTACTAAACCTAAACAATTATATGTTGCCTAATCATAACCAAGTTTTGTTTCAGTTGACATTGTTAATCACGTGTTTAAAACTGCGACCGTAATCCGAGAGAATATAGGTTTCCCTCGAAACGTCATTGAGAATGCAGTTTAGTTGTATGGGAAGGTAATTTTGTTGGAGAGAGTTGTGCTTACTTACTTGGTAGGCTTAATGGGTCACTCAAACGGAATTGGGCCATGATCATTGTTATTAATTACACCTGTGCTTAACCTGCTAAGACAAGTTAATGCTGAACACTAATCACTAGGACTAGAGCAACTCATTTAAGTGATAGTGGGATATTGTGCAGTTCATTTTTCAAACATTTTTCATGACTTGTACACTAAGTACATAGCCTCTAACCTCAAGGGAAATGTGTTGATGAATTGTCATCATTATCATGAGCTTTATAATTATGTCCCAGGTGATTAACTCATGTCGGTGTCTAAATGTGCATTGAATCAATGGTTATGATCAAATTCACTGTATAGTCATTCACTACCAAATGATAAATCACAGCCTATGTTGCTGTATGGAAACAATGTTGACTGGATATCCTGGAGAGAGTGAGAACAATATAATGTGGAGTATATAAACCTGTCAAAGCATACCATAGTTGTTTAGCAGATCTTCTCTTGTTGTCATTACACTGTTAGTACATCAGCGACTGTAAAACGTCAACTGTGGAATTTAGTGTTTATTTACACTTTAAGCCAGTTAACATTGTCATTGTCTTTGCAAGCTAGTGGTGAAAAATGAATGTGTACTACACGATAGTGGCTGTTAATAGACCGTTGCTTTCAAAAGTTAAAAATGAAATGTGTTATCTTCTCTTCACCTTCCTAGATCATCCTGAACTCTATGCACAAGTACCAGCCTAGACTACACATAGTCAAAGCCGATGAAAACAACGCCTTTGGATCCAAGAACACTGCCTACTGTACTCATGCCTTTCACGAGACAGCCTTCATCTCTGTCACCTCGTATCAAAACCACAAGGTAAAGCAACTATAAAATACAATTGATGCAATATTCCAAGTTTTACAAATACAAAAGTAACATTTGTTGGTGTCAGCTATTCCTTTTATTGATGAAAGGGGATTACAGTCAATCATGTTGAACTTATTATAAGAGTTTAAATGGTAGTACATGTTTCTAGGTGTAGATTCTTTAAATCTAACTGTTAAAGTGTGCATAGGGGTGCATGGGTGGTGTCAGCTTTCCCGTCCCCCATAGCAAAGAACCTTCCTGTAATTGCTTCACTTATGGTTTGGTTTAAAGCAAATAGAATGAAATCTTAAATGAAATATAATTTTCCTAGATCACTCAGCTAAAGATAGAAAACAATCCATTTGCCAAAGGATTCCGGGGTAGTGAAGAAGGAGATCTACGCGTTTCAAGACTACAGGGGTATGTTTACACAAAAAGGAACCAGGGAAATAAGACAGGTCCTGTAGGACCAGTTAGCACACACGAATTCACTCATAAACATCAGTTCTTCAGGACATTTTTTTGTTTTTGGATAAAACAAAAAAGATACCTCACCTCCTTGAAAGACTGCTGAGTGGAATTGCAGACATGGCAGACTGATTCCTTTTCTCTTCTGTTGCTGCTTATTGTACAGTAAAGAATACCCAGTGATTTCAAAGAACATGGTTCGCCAGAGGCTCATCTCCTCGCATAGCCACCTAGCAGGGAAGCTCGGAGCAGGAGTTCTCACAGGGCACCCTCAAGTCCTGTCCTCTTATCAGTATGAGACTGGGGTTCCTTTGCCTAACTCAGACCCCCAAGATCCTATCTCCAACCACTTCCCTCAGAGCAGAGATCCCAGCCTTCTGTACCACTGCTTCAAACACAGAGGTATGTTCTTAACTGCTGTTCTTTTAGCTATTGTACAGAATCAGATGTGCCCATTAAGTACTCCCTGGTTGAAATAAAATATGCTGTTAACTATATCCATTTGCAGATAATGCCCGACACCTAGAGCTTGGATGCAAGCGGCCATATCTGGAGACATCATCTGTGGTCTCAGAGGAGCATTACTTTCGTTCAGCTACCTCTTATGAGTCACCCTTGATGTCTCATCCATACTGCACTGAGGCAATCACCTCTAGAGAAGCTTGTATGTACGGTAGTATTGACACAGAGTCTGGATCAGGGGTAGGGGACACAGATGACCTGACCAACTCCTCTTCAATAAATTGCAACATGTGGGCTACAATGCAGCCCTACCCTCGCTATAGCGTGGAAGGTGTCCCGTACCAGCCCTTTACTGCTCACTTTACCAACGCTGCCACAGTCATGCCGGTAGTACCGCACCCCACATCATCCATGGCATCTCGACCACAGGCTGAGTTGGGTGTCTACAACTCAGCTACGGTTCAGCGAGGTCTGCCCATTATACCTCCTTCATCCTCTTCATCCTGCTCTCCAGCCGTTTCAGGATCCAGAGAAAGGTCAACTCTGTACCACAAGAAACCAGGGTCTCCACTCCGGCCTCACAGAGATTTCTCAGCCTATCCAACACAAGGCACTCTATCCCTCCGGGATCCATCCTATCAGTACCAAGTGGGGCTGAGTAGCGCAGGGACTCACTGGACTGATAGCTAACATGGACCACTAGAGCAACCAGTTTTGTCCAATGTACAAGTCTGAAATGAATCAAGGTTCAACACCCCACTGTGGGCTGCTGATGCCAAGCAATGATAATGAACCACAGCCATGATCATTGCCAAAGCCATTTACAATATATCCACCAATTCTCAATGAAGCACTATTACATACAATACTGTGTGGTGAACAGTGGTCGACCGCTTTACTTATGCATATTGTAGCAAGTGTACAGACAAATGCAAAGTGCAGGTTTGAGCAACATTTCAAAGTCTATCAGAGGGAGCTGTAAGCTACGCAGCGCTTGGTACTTCAACTGTGGGGGATGACGAGATCAGAGCCTCAACGACAAATAAACAAATGTCAACACATAATAATCTAGTCTGTGTGAGTGGACTGACTAGAATATACATTTGATGAGCTGGTTAGTATATCTGGCAGTAGGGTTGACTCGAAACAAATGACAGTGGCTGTGTTCGTCGTAATAAAGAAACACCTAAACCTGTACATCGGTGTTGCTTATTGATATGGAAGATCAATACATTGGTAATTTGGGTATTTTCATGGCATTTGTTGACAATAAGAAAAATATACAATGCCACCAGCCTTGTGAAGTAGACGGAGCTTAAAAAGTTAAGCAACTATAAAAGTTATCACAGCTTTGAGTCCTAATTATTCATATGTGCCAAAATGAGATTTGCTACTCCTTGATGTATAGGGAAAATGTGTATTGAGTCCAAGTGAGATTGATCATATCAGAATATAACGGACTGAAAAGTGCATAGACTAAGAATCTAAGTTAAATTACTGTATTTTACCATGATTTACATACAGAGTAATTCGATCAAGGTAAAGATGCACCAAAAGAACATCCATTGTGAGAGTTGTTAGTGCAAAAGTCTTATTCAAATACCTTGTACAGGTCTATGCTAGTTGCGTGATACTTGCTTAAGACTAAGCTATACTACTTGTGGTTGTTTGTCAATGGTCCAAACTCATGACTCCGAACTATATTTTAGTGAAACGGGACAGCAACCAGATGCGGGCTTAAAGAACCACTGTTAAGCCATGGTGAGTACTGGAAAAGAGAGCTGCACACAAATCCCACATCCAAATGACTTACTTGGGAAAAAATTCTTGTAAGACTGCAAGTAGAAAACAGCCTGAGTAGGCAGGAAAGCTGAAAGAAAAGGCTCTTGGTAGCATTGCATTAAGTAGAGTTTGAACTTGCATTGACAAGGAAAGATAACCTGTAGGATATGATGGTGATCCCTCATGCATTTTTGCATTGTCCCTTTATTTTGAGTTTCATGTTTCATTCTAATATTTTTGAATATATTGACATTTTTGCACACCTGATAAATAAACATTTTCATACCTCTAATGGTTTGCTATATTTAATTCAAGACCACCATTGTACTACATTACATGACACTTTAAAATGAGATTAAAATAAAACCCATTCTTTTAATGTCGCAAAGTGTAAACGGTTCATAATGGATATGTTTTGTTTGTTTTATGGATATACGAGAAAATGTCACGGGAAACTGCAAGCCAAGATTAGCACGTTTTTTTCTTGCACACTTTCAAACATCCAGTACATACACACACATTTGAAGTATTTGTTTGCCTGCAGTCATGGAAACAGTAACATGCCAAAGCTGAGCATTTAAATTCAACTTTCTCTCCTAATTAAATAATAAATAAACCTATAACGCTAAAAATACTCTATGATGACATCGTTCCCTTCAAAAACATTTCTGTTTTTCAGACGCCATGGTCCAGAAATCTTTTGGTCAAGGAATTCTTACTGCAACCCTGTCGCCAGAAAAAAAAGTTGGCATTGTATATGTTTGACTGTGGCTCAGAGGATCGGCGGTTCAATCCCCGGCTCCGCTAGTCCATGTCGACTTGTCCTAGGGCAAGACACTTAACCTCAAAGTGCTCCTGTAGGCTGTCTGATATCCCTCTTGCCCACAGGATTAATCCTACTGACTTTGGTGAACCCATAACTTTTCCTGTAGTACTACCAGCAGATTAAAGACTTCACTTATACGGTGAAATATCTCTACATCTACAAGATGGATTAGTACAACTGTTAGTGGTTCAGAGATAAATATCGGAACTGTTGGAATACAATGCAATTCATAGTAAATGGACTTGTACTTGTACTTGTACTTGTATAGCTAGTCTTCCTATCACTCAAAGCACTTAACACTACATGTCATTCATCCACTTATACTCTGATGGCAGCTTCATAACTGATTCATACCCCACACATACACAGCCTACGGGAGCTATTTGGCATGGCCATGGACCTCAGGATCGAACCGTCGACGCTCTGATTGGAAGACAACCCGCTCTAGCTCTGAGCCACGGCACCGTCTGGGGCGACCGTGGCTCAGTGGGGGCTCAGCAGGGTCGTCCTTCAATCAGAGGATCGGCAGTTTGATCCCCGGCTCCGCTAGTCCATTACGATGTGTCCTTGGGCAAGACACTTAACCCCAAATTGCTCCCGTAGCTGTTCCTACGGTGTGTGAATGTGGTATGAATGTTAGATAGTCCTGATGGGCAGGTGGCACCTTGCATTGTAGCCCCGGTCATCAGTGTATGAATGGGTGAATGATGACATGTAGTGTTAAAGCGCTTTGAGTGGTCGGGAAGACTAGAAAAGAGAAATACAAGTACAGTCCATTTACCATTTCAGCACCACGCTTGCAGAAATGTGCAATGCCACGTAGTTAACATTGTGAAACGGTAGGTTAGGGTTAGAAGAGAAAACTACTTGGTTATGGTTAGGAAAAAGATCATGGTTTGTGTTATACTAATAACGTAAAATGTAACTAGCGTAAACAAATAACTGCCCTTGGTGGACTTTTGTGCCTGTTGCACTTGTTACTTTACAACGTAACTTTCCATAGCAGTCACTCAATATACTGCACCACTTGCTCTGTGCGTCTCTGGTTGTACTGTTACTTGCTCTGACCGAACGCAACCCCACACAATTATAGAAAGACCACTACTTGGCCATTACATGGTGCTGTCCAATAGAAGAAGAAGCACTTACAGTATACTATCCACTTGAGTTACAATCAGTAAATGCTGAACAGGTCTGCAAACAAAAAAGGTAAAGCAAATTTGTTGAAATTTGTTGAAAGTAATGTAGCGACAGCAGGGCGAGTACGTCAGCATACAGGGCATTGCTTTCTCTCACACAGAGCTCTTATTAGATCATGAGTTATGCTGATGGTTAAGTCCTGGTTCATGTCAGCACCTCTTTCTCTATCTTCTCTCAGCCGTTCATGCATTTCACATGAAGGGAGGCTCTTCCCAGAGAGCGTCACTCAAATCAACAAATCACCAGCCGGTTATCTTGAATCCTGAGCCATAACCTGCCTGATAATCGTGATTAGATATTCATTTAGCTGTCAAAAGACAGTTTCGGTCACTAGTGTTTTGAATGGGATTTGCTTAAAGGGCCATGCCAGTATGTTTGGAAATTGTATACGTATCATCTTCCTTTTCGCTGACCCTTTTCAAATGGATGCTGTGAGTTTTTTAATGTTTAGATTGTCTTTCCTTGATTTCAATATGTCATTCAAATCAATGGGCTGAGACTTGACACTTGTTTGAGTTGGGTAAATCCTCACAGGGAACATGAAGTCTGCATTACTGTTTGTGAAGGTTGATTTTTTTGTCTTTGTTGAATTTCAAGAGGACAGAAACAAATGGAAACCAATGGCTGCCTGGAATGATGACTACATCCAAAAATCCAAAACACATCAGCGTGTTGCAAAAGGGTTAGCTTAAATATAAAGTATGTGATTTGCAGTAAGTAGAATAAAACATGCAAAACCACTGGTATGGACATCTTGTGTCCTAGCGATTATGCTCATATACTACTTATGTTTTTTCCAGTGAAGGAAGTGCTACACTCTCGTACAGGGAGATGGTCAGTGTGGAGGGTGCATGTACAACATGCAGGACTTTGATAGCTGAGGTCAGAGTCCAGCGTGTGGGAAGGGTTAGGCAACACAATCAAAATGCTTTGATTAAGGAAGGATTGTGGTTTGCTTAAATATAAATAAAGAATAAACATCATGTGCTTAAAAAATCAAAATAAAAGGTTTGGAGGGCATTACATTTCTCTCCAAATGTATTTGCTGTTGCTTTGTAGAATTTAAACATAATTTCCAAGACACAGGGTTGGGAGGGTTGTTTAAATCAAGCATTCTGTATTAACCAAATTGACAATGTTTGCAATATGTGAAAATATAGCTTAATGACTCTGTATGGTTTGCAAAATTGCCAAAAAGTTAAGAGGTCCCAAAACATATTTTCTTGAGAAGCCATTTATTTGAACACTGACAACAGAAGAACACAGTGCACAGATTTACACATAGGTCATATTTTAAATGTGGCTGTTACAAAATAATGCCACAAAAAAGAAAATATATATATATGTATATATATATACACAAATCAACGACAATTTGTGATCTCTTCACTCTGTTTCCGTGTAAGCTTCAGCTTTTCATAGTGATGAGAGAGCAGAAGTGAACTGCTGCTGGGTCCAACCATATCTGTAAAGAACACAGACAACGTTTGAACTAGTTTTGCAGTTTGGAAATGCTGTACCCAAAAAAAACAGTAAATCTATATTTTAGAGTAAAGATAACACAAATATCTCTGTTATCTTTAACAACTTTAACGGCAACCGAAATCTACAAATCTAAAGAATCTGAAATTCTTGTGACTTTCCTATTTAAACATGTGACAAAACAAAACCACAGTAAAAGTTCAAAGTAAGATACTCTTGACATTAAAAGGAAAAGGGGAAAAAAGGAAGAGTTTTCACCAAAGATCCCAGACTTTGTTTTTGGTCAAAGCCTTAAAATGCATTAAAGGGCCCGGCAGGCATATTGGAATTTATGTTATCTAACTTTCCACATAAAACCTCAGCCAATCTCATTATGAAGAAGCAAAGTTTAAGTCCCTCATGGAGCTGAGTATGTATCTCCAGTGAGAGAAGCTGGGCCTGCAGTCCATC